AAACCTGCTTCTTCTGCTGTCTGCCCCATCTCAGTAAATGTCAACTCCATCCTGCCCCTTTCTTTAAGCCGAAACCCACAGGCCACATCCATCCATCATCAAGCTGTTGGCTCTGCTTTCAGGATGTATAAAGAACATGCGTGCTTCTCATGACTGCTGCCTACAATCCATGATCTCACGATGGCCCATCCCACCATTCTCTACACAGCAGCTCAGGGTACCAGCTAATAAGCCAACTGCCTGCAGTGGCTTTTCACGCTCAGAATAACCCCAGGCTTCACTGGCTTTGATGGCCATGCATGATCCCACCCGTCCACCTACCCCTCAGACCTGTCTTCTCTGATCATTCCCTGGTGCCTCCCCACTACACTAGAACAGACCAAGGATTAGGATGCCACCAGGATCTGTGCACTCCTGCCTCATCTTTTCTAAATGTTCTGCCCCAGGAGCTGCACAGATTATAATCTCACCTCGAGATCACTGCTGCCCACAAACCGTCCCCATTACAGCTCCCGAGCCCCCTGCACAGAGCAGCAGAGTGCTCCTCCTCTGCCCTTCTCCACCTCGGGCTGCGTGTTCTCCACAGCACGGTGCCAGCCAAGGCACTCCATGTATGCCTGCTCGCCTTCTGTACCCTTTCACTAGCATGTAAGCTCCACAGAGACAGGGAACTATTCTATTCACTGTACTCTTTTTAGTAAGTGTTTGGTCATCTTGGACAGACGGATGGATGGATGAGGAAAACCAGACCTGGGATCCAGGTAAAAGTCAGGCCAGAGGAAGTTTTCAGAGCTGATGCCGTAAAGTCCTGCACAAGACAGGCTACAGCTACAGCCAAGTCTACAACTCTAGTTCGGGCCAGTACCAAGCAGGGTTGGCAAGTCCATGCCTTGTGGAGAAGGACGGGCGGAGAAGGAGAGAGAGAAGAAAGGGTGCCCCGTGCTTCCTCAGCACCCCATGAAAACAACCAGCCGGCCTTTTCCAGTAAACTGGCCTACCAACTCTCACCAAGTCCGCACACACACTTAAAAGCTGTCATGAACTGTGCCTGCTTTTCTAAGCTATGGTCTGCTGAGAAAATTTTAATTCCCAACCCAAACTCAGCTGCCAAGACATAATGGTCAAGGAAAGCTCTCAGATTTCCTCAGAGCACTCAAGCTGCAACCAAATATCATTAATACGATGACAACAACTCAAAGAACCTTCTCGTGTCTGCCTCTCTGCTGTCCCCAGTGTATACACTAGTGGCTCCGTCATCAAGGTTTTGATATCTTAGCAGGGAAAAGCAGGTAACAGGATTGTTTTTTAATTTAAAGACAGGAAAAATGGTGGAGAATTAAAAAGCACCAGCTCACATATGAAGTATTACCTGGGCTTTTCACTGAGATTCGGGGCCGTCCCCAGCTAAGGAGCCACGTCTCACAGCTCCCACCCCACGCTCAGAGCTGGTGATGCCAGACTGGAGCCCACACTAGAGCCCACGACAAACCCAGCAGCTGGGAGCAGGGATGGGGCGGGGGAGCAGCAGCTCCTGGAGCTTTGCGCCTCTTCCTCTGTACTCACCAAATACAGAAAGTGGGCAAAAAACTGGGAAGGACGAAGCAGAATGGGGGATTAGGATGACGTAAAGCAAATAAATAGCAGCAGAAAAAATCAAGGACAAATTCTTCTTCTAAGTGACTGAACAATGACATGAAAGTAAATTAGAAAGGAAATTAAAAACAAGTCCCCATACTTTTTATAGAATTACACAAAACGACAATTCTTAATTATAAGGAATGATCTGTGGTATTTTAAAACCAACACTCCCCAGTGATCCAACCATATTCCACTTAAGCCAGTGGTCCACATGGAAAGACGAACAGGAGAAAAGCTAAAACTCTCCTGAAGGCTTTAAGAATCTCCTGGTTTCCCCCACGGCTCCAAACCTCAATTTAATCACCTAGAAGTCTCGAAAGGCACATAAGTGACTCTGAGACATTCTAGGACAGTAACTCAGTAGAGAAGAGCTAAAAATGCAGAAATCACACATCCCATTCTCTGATTTGACAGTCACTCGCAGAGAAAGGAATGCTCTGATTGGTTAACCTCAGCAGTCTGACTCATTTCCCAGGCCCAGCACCTGAGCAAGCAGAAGCTCAAAGCCAAAAGCTGCAGGAGACAAAAGGGGCAACTTTCATCAAAGGAGCCTGAAGCTGGGTACGGTGCTGCTGCACACCTGTAATCCCAGCACTCAGGAGGCTGCGGCGGGAGGATCACCGGAAGTTCAAGGCCAGCCTGGACTACTACTGAGAACCTGTCTCAAAAAAAAAAAAAAAGGAGAAAGAAAAAGATTCTTGGGAACTCAGTAACAGTGGAAACAGAACTCAGCTCTGCCCAGGAAGGCACACTAACCGGAGTCGGTTAGTCGGGGGCAGCACTCCCCATACTAACCCCATACTAACATCCCCACAGCGCTCTCTCTGACAGGCACGCTCCACTCCTTCCTCCATGCAGCCTTGCATTTTGGAGATGGGTGTTTCCCATCACCAGATCCGTGCTCACTCACACCTTCTCTTCTGTCCCCCTCCTGGAGGAGCACAGTCCGTGGGGGGGTCACCCGGGTCATGAGGCACAACACGCCACAGTCCATGAGATGCGACACACAGAGCAGTGCTGTGAGCACACAGGCAGCTGCCACCTCCTACACGGGGTCCTCCAAACCAACAGCCCCCTTCCCGTTCTCCTGTGTCACTGAGCCATGCAACCTTCCAGAACATCCTTGATCCCCACTTCTGCCAAAAAACTTAGACTTCACTTCTCCCGTGACATTTCACTCACTTCCTACAAGAAACCCAGTTCAGTATACAGCCACAGTCACATCAGCCCTATCTCCAAAAGTGGTAACTTATCATCCATTCCCTAGCTCTGAAACCAGCTACCGTCTTTCAAATCCCCAGGAGAACAAGTTAAAGTCCTTAGCACACCAGAAAAATAATGCAGTACACAGCTTCTGCTAAAAGCACAGAGGCTGTCTGAATTCAGGTCCTACAGCCTACTGGCCATGGTACCTTTGGCAGGTCATTTGCATGCGTTTTCTGATCCACAAAACAAGGTCACTAGAAATGTACCACATGGGCTTGTTAGCAAGCACTCCACGCCAAGTACCAGTACCCTTCACCTTAGGCTATCGCATCTACCTAGAACACCTCACTTCCCAAGAGAAGCAGATGACCAAGCTTTGTGTTCATGTATTTTAGAATGATTAATAATAAGAGTTAAGTCAGAATGACACTGGTTAATCTGGAACGAGCAAAACTTCAGTTAAGCAATACATTGCATTCATGAAAATTTTGGTTTGTCTCAACCTTATCAAATTTACTTTAATCAGATAGGGATAGAATTTCATCCTCAGACCTCATAATCAAATGACAAAAATCACAAGAATTAAAAAGTCAATGATTCTTATAATATGAAAAACTACAAAGCCCTCATTACTAAAAAATAAAAACAAAACTGACCAGAAACATTTTCAAAAAACTTACTCATGGTGTTAAATGCTAATGAAAAATGGTGAAAAGATTAATGCAAATTTACAGATTAAGGACAAGTATTAAAAAGGAGAGAAGGAACCGAGGGAAACACTGCATTTGCTCCTCAATCATGGCCTGTGATGTGAGACAGTGAGTCCTCTTAGCAAACAAAGCCTTAAAGGGAGTGTGGGCGGTGCTGCCTGTAATTCCAGCCCCAAGGGAGCCTGAGGCAGGCAGATTCCAGGTTCAAGCCCATCCTGGGCAATTCAGCAACTAAGCAAGAACCTGTCTCAAAATAAAAAAGTAAAGCGTAGCCGGGGATGCAGCTCAGTGGAAAGGAGCTGGGCTCAAAGCTTAGTAATATAAACACTTTTTAAAACGTTTTTAAAAAATGGATAACAGAACTGATGAACTAAGCTGGGCCGGAGGCAACATAAAGCAACACCTTTCAAAACAAAACCTGGCAGTACTCTGATAAAACCTTGCTGTCCTCTAACCCTGCAATCCTTCTCCTGGGCCTGAGGCTTAAAAGAAAGAAGAAAAATGATTAACAGCTATATGCTACCTGTACTACTTGCTAAATGGGAAGCAACCTAGGTGTCAAGTTACTGAGAAATAAGTAACTCACTCCTTGTAACACCAGGTAATAGCCTACAGGCATAAAATTATGGCAAAGCTGGGGATTTAGCTCAGCAGCATAAGTGCCTGACTCAAGCATGAGATCTCCAGTTCCATCCCCGGGAACCAAAAAAAAAAAGAAGGCTAAAAAAAACACATTACAAATGGAAACACATGTTTAATATTATATGTGTGCTTTGATTATACAGCACATATATATGACAAGAAATAAGTAAGAAGAAAAATTAAAGGTTCATATGGATTTTTTTTAAAATTCCTTTGACCATTACTTTGTTTGGAATTGATTAGGCCCAGCACACTAAGTTTAAACCTTTCAGGACTGACTTATCAAAAACATGAAACCACAATCGTATTCCCCCTAAAAATCTATCACACAGGAGTAATGGGATACACTCTTCTCACATAAAGACAAGCCATACATGTAATTTTAGCCATGCTATTAGCCAGCTGTAACCTTATTATATTAAAATCTCATTTTACCATCAAAATGTAACCACAGGATCTCCATATGGTGAGATCTCGGGTGCCACTTGTTATGGGACATGTGGAGAGAGGTCTCTAAGCATGAGGTTAAAACCATCTAGCCAAATGGAATGCCAAGTTTCAGCTTCTCCCATATTCCCCGAAGAATTATCACGTTTCACAGCTGCTCAAGGCCTCCAAGTCCCCAGGAGCATCAGCTAAGGATTCAGGGAAGAAGAAAGTACAAGCAGACTTGTCACCCTGTGAAAAACTAGAGACTTCTTCACTGCCACCTAAGCTCCACGAAGCAACAAAAATAAGTAACTATAATACCTTCATGAGGTCAGAGGTGTAAGACATGATCCTAAGTAATTTCAGGCATGTTACTTGCCTGTTCAGGCTTTGGTTCTTCTAATGGCAAAACTCTGAAGGTTGAACAGATGGGCATGCTGGCACACGCATGCAATTTCAGCACTCGGAAGGCTGAGGCAGGCAGATCACCTTGAGTTCAAAGCCAGCCAGGACTACACAGGAAGGCCCTTTCTCAAAACAAGAAAGTTGAACCAAATGGTCTGTTAATACTTTTAATTCAACACAGATGAATGTAACCCCTTTCCCCACACACACACACAAGTCTGTCACAACTCCCACTCAGATGATGAAAGAATTATTAAGACTCAGCATTAGGAAAGGAGGGGGCAAAGGTGAAACACAAAGGTGATCGTAATCTCAGTCCCATCCCTCTTCCCACATGACCACGGGCAAATTGCCACACTTCAAAATGAAGTCCCAGGACAAGGCCTCAACCCTCCCTGGCCATGCCCCTCTCACTCCCGCACCACAAAGTGAACTGGTTCTTGCTAGCTTTACTAGGACTTCATTTCTAGCCAACAACTTGTGACTTCATTCTTGGATATTATAAATGTCTTGCACATTAACCTTTTCTGTTTTCTGATGCTGACAAAAGGCAGTCTAACCTATTTTGCCTACTTTAAAGCTATATTCAAGGCTGGGACAATTCCTCAAAAATGTATTCAGCAATAGGTTTTTGTACACCTAGGCACACAACAGTAAGCTTTGGAGTTGTGAACTTCAGAAGAAGCTAAAAAGCCTCAGAGACAGATGGATGAATTGTCATGAACTACCAACTGGCAAAATGCTAAGTGCAGAATCATCCTCCTCCTGGGCTGGGGAAGACAGAGGGATTCGAGGTCTGGACAGGACGAGAGGACAAAACAGTGAAGCGGGATGTGAAAGGCAATGTGTTTACTAAGAATAGTCTTCTCAACAGGGGGACCGCATAAACCACAAAGGAGGATGTCATCTTCTGACAACACTCATACAAATAATGGTTGGAGATGAAACTAGAAACAGACTCGTACCAGAAATGGTGAAAGGTTTGGATGTTCGCCATAGACACCGTGACAGGTCACCGAAGGACTTCCGAACCTGAATCCAAGTAAAAGGAGCTGAGTGAAGGCAACCACCAAATACTTCTACCTGTGGAAAGGTAGGATTAAAAACAGCTGTTTTTACTGCAGAATTCTGGTGCTCAGAACATGCATCTTAACATTAACACTGCTGAAGCAGTATATTGCAAATTATGGCTAACAGGTTGAAGAAAGTATTTCAACTTGATTATATAAGGTCTGTGTGTTTAAAGCACTAAAAAAAATCAAGAAAACAATGAAGCACTTTTGATCCATAAGAGAAGAAATAGGAATAAAGACCAAAAAGACTGACTTCAGGCAAAACCCTGAGTGATGTTTACATCCTTATTATACACTGATTACAGACTATAAAACAATCTATATTTCTTTTACTGGAGAATACCTCACATTTGATTAAAGTATCTTTAATCTAACCTAAATGATACTTTTAAAGGTAACTGGCCAAAAAGCTGGAAATCATCTTATCATTTCATCACCCAAAATAGTGAGGAATAGCCACACAGCAGCAAAATTTACAGCCCAGGAGCTGAATTGATTTTTAAGGCAGAGAAATTATTCTCCACGCTATAATAATCACTGAATTAAAGTCACTTGCATTTGTTAAACAATAATAATATTTACCGCAAAGAGTGAATCCTAATGTGAACTGCACTTAACACTGACCTATCACTACTGGCTTATAAATTTTGACAAGTAAAAAATGGGTTTTTCAAAAATATATATATAACTGGTCAAATGAATCTTATTAATATTTTAATGATCAGCAGGAAAGGAAGGCCTTTACCAGTGAATAGTTTGCACCTTTCCTCCCCTTTCTAGTTAAGCATGACAGTCCAATCTGGAACCCCAGAGTCCCTGCAGCAGTAATTTCCACCCTGCCAAGGCCTAGTCTAGCAACGACAAGCCTAATTGGCTGTGTGGCCCACAGAGATGAATTTGCAATTATTAAAATACGAACCCAAGCTTAGTCATCAAGGACTACCTCAGAGAAGCCATTCCTCCTTTTACTTGATCAAGAAAGTAGGTGCATTTTTTTTAAAAAAAAAATGTATGAAAACCGGAAGGGGGAAGGGAAGGAGGGTCAGAGATGGGGATGAAAAGGAATCAGGATGAGTTCTGCATCTGTACTGACTCCCCACGGAGAGTGCCATCGCTACGCACGGAAATAATGCGCTCCTAATAACAAAAATGGTTTATTGGATAAAAATAGCAGCCGTCCAGTGAGGAGACGGCGTCCGAGCCCACAGCCCCGGCGGGTGCGCCCAAGTTTCCTCTCGGGTGTGCGTTAGGGCGTGTCTTTGTTTTCGCCGGTGACTGAAGCACCCCACTCCTGGGGCACCCGGGACCTGCCCCCGCAGCCGCCCGGCTCCCCGCTCGGCCTCCGGCGCCAGCGGCCCGGCCTCGCCCCGACCCACGGCCCCGCAGGGGCGGCAGCGCACGCCCCGGGCAGCGGCGCCCGGCCTCCCGCGCCGGCGTGCACGCGCGGGGTGGCCCGGGTACAGGGTGCCGGGTCCCGGGTCCTGGGGTTCTGGGGTTCCGGGGTTCCGGCGTCCCGGGGACCAAGCCGTCCCGCGCCGCCCCGCCGCCGCCGCCGCGCCCCTGACTCCGCTCTCACCGTGGCGGGTCCCGCTGCCTCCTCGGCCGAGGCCCGGCTGCCGGCCGCCCAGCGACCCGCGGTCCGAGGTCCGAAGGTGACGCGACGGCGTCACATCCCCGAGGGCCCCGCCGCCCGAGCCGCAGCAGCAGCAGCAGCCAGCATTGCGCCGCGGCCTGAGGTAGCGCCGCACTCCTCAGCCGCCGCGCCCCCTCCCTCACCCCGCAGCGCGCACGGGCTCCGCCCTCCGGGCCCGCACTGCGCGCGCGCGGCCCCGCCCCAGGACGCCCCTGCGCAGGCGCGAGCCTCCCAAGCCTCGGCCCCGCCCCCGCCCCGCCCGGGCCCCGCCCCGCCCTCGCGCCAGCCCTTCGGCCCCGCCCCGCCCCCGACCTTGCCCGCATGCCCCTGACTCAGGTGTTCGTGGGCAGCGGGGATAGACGCTGACCCTGCGGGTGACCTCGCCCCACACGCCCCTGGACTAATATTAGCAGCTTGACAGCGGTCAAACCTATCATCAGCTCCTCCTCCAAACTGAAAAGTTAGGAGTGGCCCGGGCCCTGGCCCGGGCTGGAGATATCCCACACTGTGTGTTTTGGGGCCCCCTGCCCTGCCTGAGCCCCAGCCCGGCCTCCCGCACCAGAAACCCGGATCTGGTGGGCCGAGGGGAGGGGCGGCCCCCGGGACTGACAAGCGCAGCTGTCCTGCGGTGACGCCTGGAATCTGGGTTCCTTTGGCCAAGAACCAGGTCTCCTTTTCTTTGAGGCTTTCTTCAGTCATTTGTTCTTTCTTCTGAGGCCACTGGGCAGGTTTTTGGGGTTTTTTTCAATCTGAGGTGCTCTACCACCTTCAGGTAGGGTCTCCTTATTTTGCCCACCCTGGGCTAGAACAGGCAGTCCTTCAGCCTCACCCTCCCAGATTCCAGGCATGTACTGCCACGCCTGGATAGGTCAGATCTGGAGAGGCCTCATCCTGAAAACCATCAGGCTCTGGCCTTACCTGATGGGAGACCAGCTAGCTGCGCCCTGAAATCCTTGCCAGCTCCCCAACAGCTGAACTACAGTAAAAGTAACATTTAAAGAGAACTTCTTCAAAAACGTCCATCTGGTCCACCTCCAGATGAGCGATCCTCAAAGGAGAAGGGGAGCGCAGAGCTTGATTTGTAAAATCAGGTTTCATTTAGTAACGTACTTTTCAGAAAACCATGTCGTTTTTAACACAGACCCATATAAATATATAAAGATTGAAATTCTTGGGTGGTAATGCACCTGCTTGGCATGTTGAGGAAATCCAGGCCTGGACGTTCTACCGCGTCTCTTTGGGTCAAGTGAGATCATTTAAAAAGCGAACACCGGACAGAATGGAGCACAGCACTGCAGACATTTCCTTACCGAAATGTGCTTCGGGGTTTATGCCGTCAGCTAAATTGAGAGATGATAAAGAAACTCCCCCCAGCACATCCCTGGGAGATGGGCAAGCGGCTCCATCTTCTGCAGTCTCCACGTGAGGATCTGGGAGACAAACATCACTGGGTTCCCTAACCCAGGAAGAACAAAGCTTTGCTAGACAGCTTGGTTGCCATCTTGAATTTCCTTGAATGATGCAAGTAAGTGTTTTGGGGTGTTTGTTTGTTTTTGCTGTTTATTAAGTGCTTTCTCTCCTAAAGACCCTGCTAGGTGCTAGTTGCATAGGAATATTTCCTGACTTCATCTAATTTTCCCTGTTCCCATCTTGTCTGCTGTCTCTATCTCCTTGGTCATCATTTCGTCACATTGGTTCTATTTCTATGAGCCATTTGCTTCGATGTGTACCCATGGGATTTTAATTTATAAGGTGACTGGGATGACTCGGAAAGGTCAGTGCAATGAAAGAAAAATTGTATTACTTGCATTTCCTGAAAGCTGGGGCCATGCCAAGCCATTTAGGGCCCTGGAAAAGTACCAGGGCTGGGCAAGAGACAGATTTGGAAATAACAGAAGTCTTGGCCAGAGCTGTGACTGGAGCTTTTGTGAGAAAAGCAAGACAGGGAAAGAGAAGAATCTTGGAGTTGGCTAGTATGGATAACGTTATAGGGCTGTGACCTACAGGGCTAATCTCTAGTTCTCTGGTACTTAGGTGACCCCCAAAACCTTATGTGCCCATAGATGGGGCATTGGATCATGGGAGTATGATACCCATCCATGGATCACTGATGAGTTCACAGCTAAATGTGGTATTGGAAGGTAAAGGCCTGTCTGAGGATGTAGGTTACTGGGGGTGTGTCCTGGATCACCCTTGATATCTCTCTCTCTCTGCCTCCTTCTCTCTCTCTCTCTCTCTCTCTCTCTCTCTCTCTCTCTCTCCCTCTCCCTCCCTCCCTCCCTCCCTCCCTCCCTCCCTCCCTCCTTCCTGATGCCCTGCATGGACTGTTTCTCCTCTGTGATGCTGCTCTGCTCTGCCACTCAGCCTTGGAGCCAGCTACCTATAGATTGAAACCTCTACAGACTATGAACCAAAATAATAAACCTTTTCTCCTAGAGTTGTGAGTGTCAGAAACAAGACAGTAACTAAGACACCAGTCCTGGCTGATGCAGAGCAACAGTAACATTGGTTTAGTGTATGTGAAAGTTAGACAAAGTGGATTGAGGAGCTAGAGTTGGTATTGGTTGGAAGTTATATAGTAGGGTTTTCACATGATCACAAACACTGGATTGTGGCACACAATAAGCAATTGTGGGCCAAATAGACAAACAGAATCTAAGAAAACATTTAGAGCACCACTTAAAGAATATATAGAAAGGTTTTAATATTGTATACAAATGCATAAATAATATGTAATACATGTCTCTGGCACACATGCACACATACATATGTCTGTCCCCGAGGGTCTGAAGGCTGTCTGTAGCTAAAGTTAAGGCTGAGAAGCCAGACCAAGCTAAGCCATGCTTCACAAATTCTAGGATGCTTCAGAATCCACTGGAAGGCTTGGTACAATGGGTTCTGGCTTCCACACCCAGAATTCCTAATTCAGTAGGCCTGGGTGAGGCCCAGGAATGTGCATTTCTTGTAAGTTCCCAGGGGATGCCAGAGCCCTAGGGCTCACAGGACCGCCATACATCGAATGCCTCTTCTGCAGTCTTCCGAACCTGATGGGAAGAACCCTCTGGAGTTCCTGAAGGATTGACGGGACACAAGTGATGAAACATGCTGTCATGGGACAGATATCACAGCTGTGCAGCCTTGCACACAGGCGAGGCAGGGCACGCAGCAGCTGAGGAAGCTGGGGTCGATCCCAGCCCCAAGATGAGGAGAAGAGTAAAAGAAATCCAAGCGTGGCAGATGGTACAAAATGCCATGATAGGAATGTGCATGGTTTGACCACCTTCTTTGCTCTGTGTGTGTATGCACCTGTATGTGTGTGTATGCGTGTGTGTGCATGTATGTGTGCATGTGTGCATGTGTGTGTGTGAATGAGTCCGATGCTCTCAGAGCACGGAGGCTGGGAGTCAGGTGACCTTGCAGAGTCACAGCCTGCAAGTCTTTGTCCAAACAGCAGAGCCCAGGAAATGTGCGTGTGGCAGCTGGTAGGGGCTTTAGGGTTGGGGCTTATGATGTCTGTGGGGATTTCACGACGCTGAGTGTAGGGAAGAGTGAGCTCATTTATACATGTGGTGAATCTTCTGCTAGACTGGGTTGTATACCATATATACTCAGTGTCTGAGGCTCTCAACATCCAGTGTTGAAATCCTGCTGCTGTTTTTGGGGATCAGGAAGGAGTGAGTGTTGGAGAGGGTGATGAGAGGTGTCCTCATGTGGAATCGGTGTCCTTGCAAGAGAAGGAGGCGGCAAGGAGCTCTGCCTCCGCTCTCCACCGAGAATCCACCCAGGGGGCCGTGGGCAAACAGGAAAGGGACCCCTCTGACACCGAGTCCGCCTGGGCCCCCAGAGCTGCGAGGGACACCTGCATGAAGCCGCCAGACTGGTGATTGTTCCAGCAGCTCAAACTAAACGCACTAAAACATTTCCACACAGACCTAATGGGAAACAGGAAGAGACTTCTCCCACAATGCTAATGTACACGTGTGCTTAGTAAAATCACATTCTAGAGAAGCTTCCTTAATTTTATAGACACCCCGGTAGGTTCTGTTTTGAGTTAATGTTCAGCCAGGCCTTTCCCCCTCAAAGAATCCAAATTTACTTTTGGCAAAAATCCAAAATAGGCCCAAGGAGCTGGCATCTGGGCAGTGGCAGGGCATCTCCAGGGGCTGCCCTCCAGCCTCGGTTCCTGCGCCTTCCTCCACCTTCAGAACCCCCTTCCTGCCTCAGTTTCCCACTGAAGGACCCTGTGATTCTGCTGGGTCCAACTCAATGATCCAGAATAGCATCCTTACTTTAGGGTCCACTGATTCCACCTGCAAGCTCAATTCCCCTTTAACATGGGAGAACTTCTTGGCAGAAGTTTCAGCAGCGCTGTGCACTGACCGCTATGTGGCAGGAGGTATTCCAGATGTCGCCTTAAGCGATCGCGCACCGGGGCCTGTGGGCCGCCCCTCCAGGCAGTCACTGCCCAAAGCAGTGCACTGGGACTTAGGCTCCCGCAGTCACACAGCTTCTCTGTCCATCTGACTCTGTTACCGGGAGGACACCTGGGTGCCTTCTAGCACCTCGTTTGGCAACAGCGGTAAACCCCCTCACCAACAGGGAATGGAGGGTCCAAGGTCTAGCCTTCTTGACAATGGTGAAAATCTGCATCATGGCCATGAGGAAGACAAAAGGAGATAGAGTCGGATGGATTATTTATTATTTTTTGGTTCCGAGGATTGAACTCAGGCCCTCACACTGTACTACAGCCTTCTTTTGTATTATTTATTTTGAGGTTCTTGTTAAATCGCTAAGTTGCCCAGGCCAGACTGGAATTTGTGATCCTTCTGCTTCAGCCTCCCGGAGTGCTGAGGAGAAAAAATCAATTTATGAAGAGAAGCATGTTACCTGGGTTCACAGTTCTGAGGTTGTCACCAATGCTGGGGCCCTGAGTCAGAATTACAGGGTGCTGAGGAGCACAGATTGGAGGAGAGAGCTCCTGGCCAGGGAGGAAAAGTGAGGAAGGAGGAGACCCAGTTCCCTAAGTTACCAGCCACAGTGGAAGCCACATGACCAAGGACCTCCCCTGGGCCCTGCCCTTCCAGCCCCATCTCCCCCAGCCCTCCCGCCAGCTGGCTGGGGACTCAGCTTTCAGCACTGGGCCTTTGGGGACGCTCCGCTCCCAACCATAGGAGTCATTACTGTGTTTTGTGTTCTGAACGTTAAGCACCTCTGCGTTTATGCTTCCATTTGTATGGTACGGGTATCTGGGGTAATCTTCTGTGTGAGAATCGCTTTCGTTTGTCACAGATTGCGCATCCTGGTTTGGTTCTGTGGTGCTTGGGATGCAACTCAAGCTTCCGTATCTTGTCTTTATTCTGCGTTATGCTGAAGAAAATTGTCATTTTATTTTCTTTTTAATCCAAAGACTTGCTTCATAGAATATCTTTAAATTCTCATCAAAACATAATGTTTTCTTTGTAAGTTGATTTTCTCTCCTCTGGGAGACTGAGGCAGGAAGATCACAAGTTTGAGCTAAGCCTGAGCAACTTAGCAAATTCACAAGAACTTCTCTCAAATAAAAAACAGAGAGGGCTGGGATGTGGAATTTTTATACTTAAGAATGTCCACTCTAATGTCTAGTTTTGTTGCATTACAATCAGAGAATGTTGTTTGCATTATTCTGTTCTTTAGAATTGTTGTAGTTAGGGGTTGTACAATGAGAATCAGGATGTGGAGTTTATAATATTGTTTTATGATGGTCACCCAGACCATCATAAAACACAAGAAAATGCAGGAAATTTATCCACAGCACCAAAGACATAGAATATCCAGGCTTGGATCCCACAGCAGTGTCCCACTTGAGTCCAGATGAAGACCTACAGCTCATGACAATGCCTTCCACAAGTCCAATTGGAGGTCCAGAGCCCACAAGAAGGACTCACGCCAGTCTCTTTTACGGATCCGTGTGGGGAAGACCCAAGGGTCAGCGGTTGAAGCCAGAAAGTCTATGCCAGCGGGGTGAAGGAGCTGTGCTGGTAGGTTGAGGGTTCTATGCTGGAGCTGAGAAGTCACATTCACAACAAAGACCAGGGCTGTCCTGAAGGCACCACAGCTGTCCTCAACGACACGGAGGGCCCGAGCTCTTCCCACAACAGGCACAGTCAGGTACATGCCAGGAAGCAGCGTGACGAGTTCATCCTGGAGACCAAACAGCACATGTCTTCCCCTTCAGAGCCAAGAAGCAATGCCCAATGTAAGGATCAGAGCTTCTCCAGGAGAACCAACGGCTCAAACAGCAACTCGTAGGAGAACCTACAATGCCTCAACGCCTCAGTGCAACAACGCATTAATGCCTTTCTTCTCTTTCTCCACCTCTGTATTTATGCAGGCAACTTTCCTCAGGTGGAGCATCTACGCTCAGTGCCATGCTGATGTAATCCAGCTGGTATTAAATTGACCACCAGTTCTTAATCCATAACAAGAATTCTTCGAGTTTCTTTGTGGTTTAATATAATGTCCCATATCTACTTAAAAGAAAAATAACTGCATAATATATATAACTTGAAATTGTCTTATAGGCTATATTAAGTTTTCTTCTCACTTAACAGTGAACAGAAAGCCAAAATTATAACCAGGCCATGGCCCACGCCTGTAATCCCAGCACCCAGGAGGCTGAGGTAGGAGGATCACTGTGAGTTCAAGGCTGGCCTGCACTACACGGTGAAACCATGTTTCAAAAATACCCAAAAAATGAAGAAATAAAATAATGAAAACCAAAATTATAAGCCACTAGAGGAAAGTCTCTAACATGGAAAATAAAGATCCAAAGACATTTGAAAGGAACTATTCCACAGGAAGGAACCATTCCCATATCCTCCCCCCTCAAAAAAAAAAAAGGGAAAAAATTACTACAATGATATATTCAGAGAAATAAGAAAGTGTGTCTCTGAAACAAAAATAGAGGTTATAAAAAAAGAAATATTCTCAAAACACAGAAGAGTGCTTAGGAACGAAACTTACACAACAGAGAGGAAAAATCAATAGAAAGAAGGAAATCTGCAGATTGGAACACAGGAAAAGGAGACCGAGGACCGGAAGGGAAGCTGATGTGCTTAGATCAGAAAGCTTCCAGCTCTCCGGTACTAAGAAGCCCTTCACTGGGTGAGCTGCGGGGAGGATTCCTGGTGCTAGAGTTTGCAGGGCTGTCCCACAAGGCCCCCACCCGAAGACCCTCCAGTCCCTGCTCACCTATGGTCAGGACTCAGAAAATATCTCCCCTCTAGCTAAGGAGCTCTGCCACGCCCAACCCCACCCCAGCCTTTCACGCTGACAGATTAACCACATAGGCTAGGGAAAGGCTGACTGACCCCTTCTGAATCAACATCTATAAATAACCAGTTTTAACGCCGGCAGCAGGGCTTTATAAAATAAATTTAAAATATACTTCCAAAATTTTTTCAGTAGTATCATGTTTAGGGCTTAAAAAAATTTTTTTTAAAAATTCAATACAATAGTCTGTGACTATACCAGAATTGATTGCTCCCGGTAGAAAATTCAGATGAGGCTGGGGAGGTCAAGTGCCTTTGACATCTCTCTGCCATCCCCTGCAGCTCGGCTCTGGATAATTAGGATTCTCAAGTAGCTAAACCCTCCCCAAGTCTCCTTGGAGCCTTCCCCACTGGACCTGACTTTTGGAGTAGTGCGCTGGTCTCCACATTGCCCAGGTTTAGCAGGCGCCCTGCGGAGTGGGACGGCTGGGTCTGATCCCACATTCTCCACATCTGATCAGGCTCAGCCCTGACCCGCAGCCCGCCCCGTCCTGCAGGTGGTTCTGCTCACTGTGGCCTGGCCTGCCTCCGGAAAGAATCCTGCAGGGTCAGTTGGGCTAAAAGCCTTCCTTATCGTTGATGTTTTCACTTGGAGATTTTCCATCCTCTGAGCCCCACACTGGTCCTTGGTTGCAAATTGCCACAGACCCTTGTTCCCTCGACCTGCTGTGGAGTCGTGAGAAAAGCCTGTCTTACTGAGGGTGACAAGAGCCGCTGGAGGGTGCTTTCACGCTTCTTCTCTGAGGTCTAAGTCAGTATCTGTGTTCCAGACAGTCAGTGCCGAAGGGTGGAAGGGGCCGTCACAGCCGCCCTTTCCCCCTAATGTACTGATCCCTTTCTTGCCTCTCTTGAGCGTCTGACGCAGCACGGTCATGGTTGGCTTTGAACTGATTCAAAACATGGTCGGTCGTTTGGACCTCAAGGAAGAGCCAGAGGTTTACACAAGCCAAGTCCACCACATAAGGTGGGTGAGGACAGGCTGTCATGTCTTCTCGTGACCGTCTTCCTGATGGGTGCCACTTGGCAGCCACATTCACCGAATTTTTGATCATGTCTCATAAAGAAACACACACGAAACTTCCAAAACTGCTTCAGCAAGTAGCCAGAATGATGGGATACGTGTGCACAATCAGGAAGGGGTACAGGCTGAGTATTTAGAGTGGTATGGGTGGCAGTGTGTCTTTTATTATAATAAATCTTAATCAAGATGTTTGCTTTATTGTGCCAAACACCCTTTTATTTCCTTACGCAAACTTTAGTTTATGGCCACACTTCTTTGTAGGAAGCTCCCATAATGCTTTCCTCCCTACGACTCTGCCCACGTAGGAAATCTAGAAACTATTTTTTGTTCTTGTTTTGGTTTGGTTTATTTAGATAGTCTTGCTGTATAGTTCAGGATGTCCTTGAATATGTGCCCCAGCTGGTCTGGGACTCTCAGCGATCCTCCTGCCTCAGCTTCCCAAGTGCTGAGATTACAGACGTCTATAAACCACTGGAGACTAGGAGAATGGGGATTACGGCAGTTTCTGCCACGGCAGCTTCGGCACAGGGGCTGTCCCCACCCTGTCACTGCTCCGTTCCATGAATCCAGGAGCTCGGTTCAACACATGGGACCTGCAGAAATCTCTGGGAAAGGAAGAGCAGCTGAAAGAAAGCAGGCAGGTCGTGCAAAGATTTCAATCTGTCCCTTGAAAAGAGAAGGCTACTGTCCTGTGGAAATACTGCGCAAAGACGGCCCACAGGCAGGTTTTAGAGAGGATTACAGGAGAAACAAACGTGAGAGCAGAACACGGTCTTCCTGCGCACAGTTTTGGTGCCTAGAACACAACCCGAGGTGTAAGTAAGCACTGGGAAGTATTGGCTGGAGGGAGGAGGGTGCGATGGTGTGGCCGTGTGTTAATAAGTGAGCCCACGCGTGTGGGAATCAGCGGTGTGCAGCCTCGGCCCAGGCTGCCCCCTGCTCCTGTGCAGCGGGATCCCTTGTTTATACGAGATGACAAGCAGCCTGCAAAGCAGCCGAGGGAGGGTGGCCGGGACTGCGGAGCCCTGCCCGGGTGGGGCTCACCAATTGTCTGATGGGCTGAGAGGGTTCAGAGAGTCTGGGCTCCCTGCCAGGCAATGTCAGTGTGGAAGGTCCATCCATCGGTTCCCTTCCAGAAAGAGCCATTTCCAGTCCAGCTCAGCTGTTCCCCAAGGGAGACATCCAAGTCCCGTGGCTAGCAGGGCTGTGTCCTTCTCTATCAGCGTGGCCTAGAAGGGCAGGGAGGACTGAAGGAGCCCAGCCAGTCCCTGGGAAATGAGACTTCATTTCTAAGGTCGCACACACACTTGGGTAGCTTTTCAATGGCGCATTCCATGCACAGAACATCTATGCAAACTAGGAAATCAGTAAAAATTATAAAATTACAATTACACGTATGAGAAAAAGGAAAGTGCCAGGGCAAGGGGTTGCAGCAGGCAGAGCTGAGGGAGGAAACAGATGGGACTGAAAGCCAAAGCCAGGACCAGAGTGCAAGGCAAGAGCCCGGTGAGCGGCTAGGTGGGGAAGGAGAGAGGGAGATGTCCTTGGGGACTGGAAATCGTGGGTGAGGGTGTGGGGTCGCACACAACTGTGCTTCACCCACATTGAAAGCCACAGTACCTCACTCAGGAGGTCTGCAAGGACCGAGTCTTAGAAAACGAGCTGGTGCCGGGAGGCTAAGGAGATGAGGAGCCGAGGAGCCATCTCTATGGTTCCCAAACCCGGCTGCGTTTGGTGCTGCCTGTGATGAAGACTCTTTGGCCAAACCTGAGTCGTGAACCCTTTGCCTTCCTTCTGTCTACATCCCTCCTTGAGCTCTACATTTAGCTTATTTTGGTTTGAACGGGAATCCTGCCAAGTGAGTTCAGGGAAAATATCCCCCCCCCTTGCTATCCGTGCCCTGTGAATATCTGATTAAATGTCTTCCTCCCCCGCTCCGTGTCTCATCCTGCTGACCTGCCTTCAGGAAGCAAGAACTCTGCTGAGCCAGCACAAAAAGATACATCAAGATGTGGACAAAAGGGAATCCTTGGTAGGAATGTAAATTGGGCTAGCCATTACAGAATGGACTATCAAAAACCTCAAAAAATTAGAGGCTTCTCAAAAAATTAGAAACAGGACTGCCATGGGATCCAGCCATCCTATTCAGTATCATTTGCAACAACATAGATGGAATAAAATAAAACAAGCCAGACACATAAAAGCAGGTATGATCTAATCTCACTCACGTGCGGAATCTAAAGTAGTCACAAGCAGAAGCAGAGTGGAATGGTGTGTGTCCCTGGTTCAGCGGGCAGGAGAAATGGAAAGGGTAAACTTAAATTTCAGTTATACAAGATGCATAAGTTACGGAGATGCAGTGTACGATATAGTGCCTATGGCTAAAAGTGTTATATTATGGACTTACAATCTTCTGACCAAGAAGCTTGGTAAGAACACCACTGAATGTTCCTAACACACACAGATAATCATAAAATAGGCAGAAAGAAACTCGAGCAGTAAATGGATAAGTGTATACCCCTAATGGGTGATAGTTCCCAGGGTATGCCTACCCACCAATGCCCTGAGTTGCATACCTTAAATATGCGGAGAGTCTCATGTCCACGCTACCACAATAAAATGATTTAAGAATCTTCTTGAGCTGATCCAGCAAGAGTCCCCTTAGCTTCCGCCCTTCCTCTTGGGAGTTTCCCGTCCACCGGCCCCGCCCTGCTCCCCAGCTCTCCGTTCCCAGTCCAGGCGTTCTCAGGTTAACAGCACAGCAGAGCTGAGCACTCTCCCCTCCTGCAGCGCGCTCTGCATGGCTGCTCCTGAACCGTCTTCCTCACCGTCTTCAGCAAGCGTCACCAGTACCGTTTCCTCACCACCACTGTACGATGCCTGACCTAACCCCAGCCCGAGAAGCCCTCCACAGTCCAGGTACATATGTCATAAACTTCTGTTTCTTCCTCTGTCTTTTGTTATGAGGCCCCCAGAGAGAACCTTGAAGGACAAAAGAAAAATATTTCCTTCCTTTCCTATATAATGAAAGTAACGAAATTGTTGAAACTGGAAATGGGAGGCATGGAATTAATGAATAAAATGGGATTAAGAAGTATAAACAAGCAGGTCAATGTAATAAAGACAAAGATAGCACAGTTACTCCGTGTACCACGGATGATTTGAAAACATTAAACTCTATGCTTCCCAGTAGCCAACTGGCCATCAGGGCCTAGGGAAGGTGGTGATGTCCACTGGAGGAAAAGACAGTATCCACAGTGGAGAAGCCGGAGTCCTGTTACAGGGGAAATAAGGGGGCTTTCCGATCTGGAGAGAACAGAAAATAGGAAAAGAGACGCAGAAGATGCAATGCCAGCATCCTGTTATTTATCCTTCCCACACTGGAGCTCTAAAGTTAAACTGCAGGAGGGCGCCAGAGGAAAGCCTGCCCTTGCTGGACACATGGTGGTGCTTGCCTGTAATCCTAAACTTTGGGAGGCTGAGGCAGGAGGATTGCAGATTCCAGGCCAGGTGGCGTAATTTAGTGACACACTGTCTCAAAGGGTAGGGTGGGGGGAGTTGTCAGGGGATCTAGCTGAGGACAGAGATCCTGGGATCAACACCCAGGGAGGGAGCCTCCACATCACCTGGGGAGGAGGGAGAAGCACAGGATCCTCCTAGGTATGGAGGAGGGCTGGGAAAGGCTTCTGCCTCCGCCAGGAGGTAGGAACTAAGCCAAAGCTCATGAAGGTGAATTAAGGAGCTTGGCGAGGCCTGGGTCTCACCTCCCCCATGAGTTCTGCCCCGGGCCTGGGAACGTGCCCAGGAGTCTGTTTTGGGGATCTGCATCGAGTCCAGGGCTGGCTGAAGTCCAGAAAACCCCGAGCTGGCCAGGAGACTGAGGGCCAGGGTGCCCCACAGTGTGGGCTTGCAGGAGCCCTGAGCCTCCAGCGCCCATTCCAGCTCGAGGCCAGGTGTGCCGGGCACACAGCTGGGCCCTAAGCACCTGGGTCTGCACCTGTGCACCTGGCATCCCGGAGAGCAGAAGCAGGAGACTGAGGCCTCACCCGAGATTTGCCTCCTCAAGAGCCAGAAGCCAGTGATGACTTCTTTCTTGACAAGGACTCATGGCTTACTTTTAACTGACAAGGAGAAAAATGTATAAATCAAAAACTTCATTTTTGTAAAGAACCGTGTGTATCTGTGTATGAATGTAATGTGTATGGCAAGAAGATTTAAAACATATAGAGTAAGTATTATGATGATTTTCGAAAGCAATATTACAGCTAGCTGCTGGTTTCATATTCACTAACTTTTTATGAATATGAATTATTTGTATAGTTAATTTTGAGGGTGTTTAGTTTGGGTCTTGGTGCCGGGAATTGAACCCAGAGCCTCAAGCGTGCTGAGCAGCTTTGTACTGAGCCACAGCCCCTACCCTGTGTGATCAGATTCTATAGAGATTTGCACAATGATGTTTATTTAAATGAACTTTGGGACTGGGGATATAGCTCTGTGGCATAAGCGCCTTCCTGGCAAGTGCAAGGTCCTGAGTTCGATTCCTGGTACCTAAATAAATAAATGGACTTTAGGGAAATGAAGCCCTATATTTGAAATAAGAATGGCTAAGTATTTTTTAAGTACCAGCCAGCATGGAGGGCTTCCTGGGCAGCAGCTCCTGTCTGAAGCATCTTGAGTGCAGTCATTCACTGAAACCTCACGCCAGCCGTGAAGGGGAGGTCCTCACCACCTCGTTCTCAGAGATGGGAACCAAGCTGTGGGTCCTCAGCGTCACCGCTTGGAAAGCAGCAGGACCAGGGTTCAGCCCAGAAGATGGCATCCATGTTCCTGCCCTCTGAACTGAACTGTTTGGCCCTTTACACGATGCTTCCACATACTGATAACTGATACCACTAAGATCGGACTTCCAAACAATTAACATTGCATATAAAAATGCACAGAAGAAGACAGTGTTATCTGAAAAAACTATGCAGGTCTCTGTAGCCCCGCATGTCTACCTTGCTTCCTAGGTCAGGGGCAGCTTCCTTTCACCCGTGGAGGAATGAAAAGCTGTGATCCAGACCCCTGGAGAGGGTCCTCACCACCAGACGCCCTTCCCTGGCTGAGATCCGATGGAGGGCTGGTCGCTGCCTCGACCTCTGGGTGCTGGCTGCAGCTCGCCTTGAGAGAGCACAGGGGTGGTGGGGAATCAGGGGGACTTCTCTGTCCCAACGCTTTGTGTTACACTTTGGGTAGAAAGTTTCCTAAGATGTGTTTACATTGAGATTGGCTTATTGGGCGCTGTACGTGTCACTGGATTCATGCATGGAGGAGCTCAGAGCTGTGTGTGCTGAGAACAGATGGAGCCTGGTTGGCGGTGGTCACTGGGGTGTGGGCAGAAAGGGGTCTTATCCCTGGCTCCTTCCCCGCCCCCTGCTTCCTGGCTGCCGTGTATTGAGTGCTTTTCCCTCTGCCAGCTCCTTCTGCCATCCTGTTTCTCCCTGGAGCCAACCATGGGCTGAAACCGTGAGCCACAATAAACCTCTCCTCTGTTAAGTTGTGGGTGTGAGGTGTTTTGTCCCAGCAATGAGAAAGTGACTGAGACACCCCAGCACCCCAGGATGCCTTCTCCCTACCCTGTAGGCACGCTGCCATTTGATAAACGGCTGGCACAGTAGTTCTTCATGAACAATTTCAGGAAAAGTGATACCCAAACATGATTAAGATGACTCAGAGGACACTGCGAATCATAGCAAAGCAAACACCACTTCTGCCTCCGACCATATCCCATCCCTTTCAGGCAGTTGCTATAACCGTCATTTATTGATCTGAGACATTATCTCTTTCCTGCCTGCCACGTTGTGGGTAGAGTTCCGAAATTCTCCACCGAAATTCATGTTGAAATTTAATTGCCGAATGAGTGGTTCTGAAAAATGGTGGCACCTCAAAAAGGTCATTGGGTCATGCGCACCACCTCCACGAGCAGACAGGAGTCCTTGCACATGGCCCTGGCGTGGTCACGGCAGGGTAGGTTGTTAAGAAGTTCGGGCATCCCTGGCACTTGTCTGTGGGTGTGCCCCGGCCCCTCCGCTCTCCTCTGAGCATGCAAGGTGCTCACCAGACACAGTCTCTGGCCTTGGATTTGTGGCCCAGAACCATGAGCCCAAATAAACTGCTCCCCCTTAAACAGCACCCAGGCCCTGTAACTGTTATAGTAACAGAACACGGCGGGAGCCAGGCATTCCTAGCAGGCGGCTTCAGCTCCGTTACAACTCCCCCTTCCTTCAGTGTCCCCACCATCACTACTATTTTTAGTTAAATCAATAGCCAGAGACCATCTTATTATGTCTACATCAACATTATTCTTTGTAGAGCAAGGTAATGCGTTTTGACTCCTTTTTTGAAAAATACAGCTTTGTATCTTTCTTTCCTGGAGCCCAAATATTTTTGTTTGTTTGTTTGGATACCAGAACTCAAACTCAGGACCTTGTGCTTGCCCGGCAGGCACGTGCCGCTGAGCCACATCCCTTTTTTTTTCTTCCCTTAAACACAATAATACCCACAGAAGCAAGGACTCTGTGGTGTCAGTTATGCAGTGAACCACTTCTTCTCCAGCACCCAGGCTGAGCCTGGCGCTCAGGGGATCTGAGGGGCACACAGCAGCTCCCAGCTCGCCTGCCTCTGGGTCTCCCCTGCCTGGCGGAGGACGCCTCTTCACCCCTACTTGAGGAGAGCACTCTCCTCCCCGCACCCATCCCTCTCTGGCTCTAGTGCCGTTCTGTCTGTTCTGTCTGCAGTGTTCTTCCGAGCAGCTGGAGATGCCAGCGCTGCCTGGGGGCAGCACCATTAGGCCAGCGTTGGTCCCAGCCCCCCATCAGGGTGAGCCTGGGGCTCTCCTGCTCCCTTCAGCTCTGCACACCCACGACTCCAGAGGGCAAACGTGGCTACTAATAATTATCAGGACGCTGGAGCCCACAGTGAGCAGGGCGCTCTCTCCTAGCCCAGCTGGTAATCACTGGTGCACCTCCCTTCTCCTGGGAGCCTGGGTCAGGTTTGCTTTTCTTGCTGTGGCTCCTTGGGGCTGGCCTGAAAAACCAGGAGCCACCTTAGCCTTGGGAGGAGGCTCCCTGGGCTACCCCAAAAGGGGCCAGGAAATGAGTCTTCACAAAGGACCTCACTTCATCCTGGCCAAGGGCCTCGCCCAAGGAAGGGGCACAATGGCCTGCTCTTCCCATCCTGAAGATGGGGTGTGGGGGGCGGGGTGGGGGATAAAGAGGCCGGAAGGAAATATTCCGGGATGTTGGCAGCTTTTCACTCTGGCTGTGGATGTAAAGGTGCTCATTTTTCTTTTAAAGACTTTTTGTATTTTCTTATTTTTGGAAATCGTGTGTGCTGTGAGATGTTACCTAAACAGATATTCCCAAGCACGGGCGGGAGCAGGACAGCCTGTCTTGAGTTTGCTCTGCAGTCAGGCTTCTGGACACCTCACGCCATGTGGGTTACAGGGCTGTGGTCCCCTTGGCACGGATGCGTGCACCAACATGACAGAGACTGTGCTGTCACAGCTGTATCCCTGGCACCCTTCACTGTGTCCTGCACATTACAGGTGCTAGAATGTGTCTCTAAAAGGCACAACTAAAGAACGCGTGGGTAGCAGTTCTTACTGGTGGCGCCGGATCCCATCAGGAATTTGGTCATTAGGGAGGAGGCTGGCCCAGGCGGCTCTGGGCCTGCCCTTCATGACTGAGTCTGGGAGAACAGGATGTTGAACACAGAAACAGAAAGAGCTGTGACACCAACAACAAACAGAGCACTTGGAGCAAATGCATTCAAGAATGCGGGAAGAGCCTCAGTCGCCTGCTTTTCCGCACCTGGCAAAACGTGGTTCTCTGTGACAGCGAAGCCAAGCCCTTCCCAGGGGAGTGGAGCTACTGGGCGGGCTGGCTGGCCTGCCCCAGCACTGATGACAGCTTTGCTCTGCTGAGAAGGACTTCGGGGAGTGGAATGCATCAGACCTGGGATGTCACCCTGAGACTGCCTGTTTGGGAGGGGAGGGTGGTGGCTGTTTCTAGCCTGGTGCTGAGCGTCAGGAAACAAAGGCACAGTGGGAAAGGGGGTCCTTAGTTTTTGGTCAGGGGCCTAGTCCCTTCCTGCCCATGGAACAACCTTGCAGTGCCCTGTATTGGTGTTCTTGGACATCAGGCCACACTCCAGCTTCCTGGGGATGGAGATCCTCTGCTCTGGGTAGTGAGCTTCTCGGAAATGACTGAGTCACCTGGATCATCACCATCCAGCCGTCAGACACAGAGGGAGGCTGCTCTTCCCCACGCCCATGGCCTCTGGACTTAGGCTCCTTGCTGGAGGTCCTTCCACTGCACTGTTAGTTAGTTCTGTCTTGTCAGAGAGGTGTTGTGGGGGTTGCTGGGGGTCTGCACCCTTCCCCAGAAGTAGGGTCAGGCAGACAACTGGAGAGAGCCCCTCAGAATGGAAGGTCAGCTGCACAGGTCCAGCTGGGCTTCTGCATTGTCCCTCAGACCCCGTGACGATTATTAGCCTTGTGTCTTAGTTTGGCTCCTCCGTGATGGCCGGGAGCCATGACCAGCGTCTGAATCAGCAGATTTAAGTGCAGCAGAGAAGCCTCCACATGCTGGCAGGGGGGTGGGGGGAGCTCACCCAGCTGGAGAAGATCTTAAATTGCTCTTCTCAGGTGTCCGGGAGAAGGTGCTGGTCTGCCTCAAGGCGACAGTGCTCTGCTCAGCCCAATTTCAGCAAGAAAACCTTGCTGAGTCAGTGTGTCACGAATCCTGCTGCCGAATCTAATGAGTTCCTCTTCCCCTGCCTCAGCCTAGACAACTCCTCTTGACAACTTCCTGTTCTTGCCCCACCCTCCCCTCCTCCTCCGGCCTCCCCCACCTCGGAATGTAAACCCCACCTCCTCCCGAATTGTATTTGATATGCCTTCCCCATAAGGATGTGGGAGCAGAATGCCCTTGGTCAACATACAAGCAGCAGAAATTTGTTCTGGGGCCTGGGGAGTCGAGGTGAAGGGCCTCAGGTTCAGAGGCAGGCAAGGCCAATCTTCTGGTTCCTGGGCGGTGGCTTCTGGTGGCGCCCTCTCCTAATGGAAGGGATGGAGGGTCACTCAGGCCTCTTTAGCAAGGGGGCTAGTGCCATTCCTGAGGGCTCTGCCTCGCACAGCACAACCTCTGATACTGTCACACTAGGAGTGAGGTCTCGACACTCAGATTTTATGTGCACATAACTACCCAGACCATAATACTTCCTGTTATAATAGTCCTGAATAAGTCCTTCCATTTTTAACAAGAATCTGATGAATAATTTCTTTTTAATGATACAGATCCTAAATCTGTAACTCTGAAGATTTAGGAATTCTCCAGGGTCACGTGGCTGCTGTGTCCTCTAAATGACAGATGACAGCAAACCAGGAGAACCTCTGCAGATTGGGGTGGAGGGGGACCGGAGGGGGCGAAGGGGAGCAGAAAAGATTAAGACGCAGCCTGCACATGTATCAGCTGCCATGATGCACGGGTTCCTCGTGCACTGAGAACATGTACTCGGAAAAAATCGAAGCCAGCATATAAAAACTGGACAGCACACGAGTTCGCTTGTGGCGTAGCACGCAGGGTCAGGGGAGCCACTGATTCCTGCCTTCCACTCGGGAGGGGCGGCTCTACTGGATGGCAGGCCCCTGCTTCCCTTCCCTCTGAGGGGGAAACCAGAGCGCTGCAGCACTCCAGGGCGGAGGGGCAGAAACAGGACTGCTCCGTGACAGTGAGCGCCTGTGTCCAGAACACTCTGGGTTTTCATGTGGCACATGGTGAGCAGAGTGGAGAGATGGACGAGGTCGTGATGGGCCTGGAGCTGCTCTCTAAGAGGCAGCTGGTGAGCCCCAGGGGTGCCACAGGTGCTCACTCGGGCAACAGAGTCACAGTGAGCCCTGGCAATGTCAGACAGACGGTGCCATCCTTCTGACAGTCGTCACACCCCCGACAGGCTCAGTGCAGCGTGCTTCAGAGCAGGGTGTGGCTTCCTCCCACCCTGCTCCTGGACAGGGGCCACCAGATCCAAGCAAGTCTCCATCCCCAGACAAGCGTCTGGCAGAGGAAGCCAGCTGGAAGCAAGGTCAGTGGGCAGTGAGAGGAGAGGGGCGTCCTGACCTCGGTGGACTCCTGAGATGCACCTTGGCTGTGGCACTGCTGGGTGTCGAGCCGGTGATGTCCTCCGCCCCGGTTAGGGAGGCTGAGTTTGGTGAGACTGCTTTTGCAGAGGAATGTCACTGAGACTCAGCAGGAGCCCGGGGCACCCATCGTGTTTTTCCAGGGGAAAATGCAGGCATGCTGCCAGCATCTCCTTTTTTTTTTTAATTACTTTTTCTTTTGGTGGGAGGGCAGTGCTGGGAATCTATGACCTTAGCCTCACACAGGCCAAGCCAGCTCTGTACTCCTGAGCTACATCCCAGCCCCTCCCCCTTTTACACCTCTCCCTTTGGTGACCTGCATCATTGCACGGCTCTCATTATGATGATAATAAATGCA